GAACAGCTTCAGGTTATCGAAATAACAATGTTAAGGAAACTCTTATCTCAGTCATGCATAAATATGCAGTGATATGGCAGAAGACACCAGAGCAGATGCAGAGAGCCATTTTGGGAATGGATTGGATTATTTAATAACATTACCTTACTGTGGAGGAAGGATTGTAAAAAAACAAATGCCTTTGAGACAGTTTCTTAGCTTTTTAATTGTTGTTTCTTTCTAGTGGTCTTTGTAAGAGTGTAGAAGCATTCCTTCTTTGATAATGTTAAATTTGTAAGTTTCAGGTGACATGTGAAACCTTTTTTAAGATTTTTCTCAAAGTTTTGAAAAGCTATTAGCCAGGATCATGGTGTAATAAGACATAACGTTTTTCCTTTAAAAAATTTAAGTGCGTGTGTAGAGTTAAGAAGCTGTTGTACATTTATGATTTAATAAAATAATTCTAAAGGAAATTGTGTAATTATAGACTTTTTATTTTAAATAAGTTAAGGAGTGGGTAGTATAATTAAGGTCCATTGCAAAGCTGTTGTTATATTGTATAAGATAAATTGTGGTCAGATGTAAGTGTGTTGTCTGCAATTCATCAGGATTAAATTATCTAGATAACTTAAGGGATATCTCTGCAAGGAGAAACACCTTTTTAGATCTTTTAGATGCTGCTTCTTCAATGCAAGGAAAGGAAATAACCCCAGCGAGGTACTCTTCAGGGACACAGGTCTAGTACAAGAGAACTCTTGACGGCTACTAAGTTCAGCCAGTCTTAAAAAACTGTGCTGTTTTCTACAAAGTTTTAACTACAGTAGTTTATAAGGATGCCAACGAAAGCTGAGGGTGTAGAGCAAAATAGTTCTAAGCTTCAGTTAAACTTCTTTAGGTAAGATCTTATTTACTTTTCCTTTCTTAATTTTCCTCCCTAAAAGATAAACTAATAACTCTTCAATGGTCTTACAGTATAGTGGTTCTTATGTAGTTTAACATAGCTACAAATTGAGTTTAACAATATATAAACTCAAAAGAGAATAATTTTTATAAACCCTGTTTTCCAATCTGTCATTTACTTAAATTATTTTGGTTGTTTTTCCCTTCTTTCCCACCCCCTCCCTTTCCATGAAGATTCAGGTGCTTAACATATCATTTTTTTCCCTGCTGGAATTTAGCATTGATATGAACCATGGACAAGTATATTCTGCTGCCACAAAGACTGTAAAGTGCTTCATTTCAACAGCTGAGGCAAGCCAAGTGATCATTAATAAAGCTTTTCTTGGTTCCTTCAGTGGTGTTGGTAGTAAAATGGTAGGTAAAAGTTAGGCTGCAAGTTCAATAAATCATGAGATTTCCCATCGTTGCACCCTTGTGTATTCACATTTCTTGGAGCAGGCATTTTGAGTGAACCTAGGATTTTTTAAATAAAATAGACATTTATGGTTCTAACTTTACATACTTTTGATGATGAGGCTGACAGAAGGTAGGACAAAATAGTTGGATTTTTTCCAGATAATACCTCATACAAGTAAAATGTCTGTCTACATTATGAATCTTGTTATGTACCCATTACTGATAGTTGGGTTAAAATGTAATTTTTACCCCATGTCCTATCCTAAACAGCTGTAGGTTGACTGCTGAAATTCATTTCCTAAAACTATTACTCAGATTGATTTCCTGGCTTTACTGCCTTTTCAGGAATGTGATATTCAGGGCTTATTCTGTATGCATCAGTGAGTCTTCTTTGATCCTAAGACCACCACTGAAGTTATTTAGGTTCTTTGGACAAACATGATAAACTTCTTCAGATACTTTTTTTTTCCTTTGGCAGGAAGGTGTCTTGCTGCAGGTAACTAATGAAGAAGTGGTCAACCACAGAGTCTTCAAGAAATAAGAAATACTGTACCATCTGAAAGTAGTTCTTGTTGGTGCCTTCATTTAAGAAGCACTCTTTAACATAAAAGGGGAATGTTTTCTGATAAAAACAAATATTTAGTACAGGTTCTTGATAAAATAATTACAAAATGAGTGTTGTTTGTAAAATAACAAAATAAGCTAGAGAGATAAATGTATCATGTTTTAAATTAGGTTTTGTGAGTAGACAGATATAAAGTTCTATTTTAAATACAAAATTTATAAAAATAAATACTTTTGTATCCAAATACTTGGTGTAATGTTTACACATAAAATGTGTGAATCTTGTTCTTCAACATTCCGTTGTCTACAAGATTTCCATCCCCTATTTTTTTAAAAGCAGTTTTCAGATTTATGCATATTGCCATTTTTCTTTGAATATTAGACAAATGAGAAAAGCATTGTGGACATTATTGGCTGTCCCTAATAAAATGCTATTCTTCATGCACTATACATTCAGCGTTTGAATACTGCTACAGTTTTCCTCTGTCGAACATTGTTGGTGTTTTAAAACCATGTTTTTGAACCAGCTCAAGTGGTGTATTGGCTTGTGAAAGGCACCAAGACAAAAACCTGGCATGCTGTGTAGTGTTTTGTCAACTAAGGGTCATATTGAAATCTATGCTTGTAAATGAATAGTGATGGTCTTTGAAAAATGTAGCTTTGTGGGTCAATTTCATAATGGGAACTTAATATGGACATCTTTACCTGAATGCATTGAAGAAACCAGAAAAGGGCATACAAAGTTGACTTGGTCTGATTAATTTCTTTTGCTTTTGATAATAGGTGTCTAACAGGTAAGTCAGATTAATGACTAGCTCATATTACCAGCTCTCATGTCTCATTTGAAATACTTTGCCTTTATCCTGTCATCAACTATGAGCTTGTCTGAATACTAGCCTTCAGTTTTTAAGGACAAATTTCAGAGGTTTAAAAAGTGACTACAAACAAGTTAAACTTTGAAGTGAAGTAAATTGGCGTAACACACAACCTCAGTACCAATTCTAACCAAAGTCAAGGGAAATATAATGGGGAAGATGAACTGGCACATGAAAATAACGGTTTACCCAGATAATGACAATTTTTCTATACGCTTGTATATTTCAGAAATTAACCAGGTAGCTTCTCGTAATCCTAGATGTGTCTTAAAAAGAAGGAGATTGCTCTAAGGGGGTTGGTGGCATATTTGTCTTGGGCATAAACTTTATCATTGCAATCACTTCTGTACTTGGACAACTTGTGCTTTATCTGTGGTGGGGAGAATCTTAAATATGGTTATGGCTTAAACTCAAGGAAACAATCAGAAAATTTGGCTATAACTGGACATTTCACATCCATAAGAGCCTCTTAAGGACTGAAAGATCATGCAACATATGTTTTTCCTGAGATTGAGGAGCAAGGAAAATCCACAAGACACAGCCAAGTATGTTGATTCCCACAATTTGATGGGGTGCCACTGACATAACTATCAATAACAAACATCACTGGGAACTACCTTTTTAGGCTTGACACAGTGCCTTGCCACACCGGGAAAGCTTTTACAAGTCTTAAGAGGATTTAGGAGGTAATTAAGATTTTAATAGTTGTATGCATTACTATCTGTAGTAATTAACGTTTCTCATGTAACAATCCTGCATGTACATATACTTTCAAGTCAAGATTCAGAACTTCAAGTACCTTGATCCTTGATTGTCTTAATGCCAACACTTGGCTATTGAGCATTTTTCTTCCTGAGGTAAGGGTGGGTGAGGCCAGCAGCAAGAAACAAAAAAAAAACATTCTTTGATGGTAGGTAGATTGGGGAAGAGAATTAGGCTTGTGAAAATCTCAAGACCTCATAAGCTTGCTTTGAAGGTCAGTACAGAATGAGCAGATGTTGGGACCAACTGTCCTCAATCAGCATACACTTACAAGGAGAGCATAAAGTTATTTGTCAATCCTGGTGAGTCACTGCTGGATGTATTGTGGAGATTTTTGGGAAAAAAAAATCACTGTGTGGTCGCTTAATACAAAATGGTAAATCTAACAGATAAGGGTCAATTCACATGAGCTGGAATTAAAGTACATTAGAGAATACTTGACATGGACATCATGGGGGCTATCTGCACATTGGTTTCTTTTTGAAGTCTGCTGGGCAAAACTAAGGAGGTAATGGGAAGAGTCAGGCTAGCAACAACTTTCTGTTGGTTCTATTGTAAGACAAGAATGAGATCTCTGCATCATTAATAGTAATGTAAACATTCACATGCCCCAAATCCAGGATGCTTAAGTGTAACCTGACCTATCAAAACTCATCCTTGACAAGTACAGTCATTAAACTGATGCCTAGCAGTTGAGTATCAAACTTACCAAAGGATCTTTCAGGCAGTTTTAAAAAATATTGTGCATAGATTACTTTTGACATTTTTCTGGGCAAAATATTCATCTCAAGCACAATGCAGGAGATTTAACTGGTAAAATCATGTTAGTGTGGTCATCTGGCTTTTTTACTGCTAGGTACTCTGCGTTTAGTAGCCAAGGCCTTCTTGCTCATTGTTGGAGAGGTGGTTTTTTAGCTCAACTAGGAAGGAAATTTCCCATATTTGTTATCCTACTATGCCTTTATAGTTTGCTCACCAGCATTTGAAAATGTGGGTCTTTTAGGGGCTGGGGTTGTGGTTCAGTGGTAGTGTACTTGCCTAGCATGTGTGAGGCACTGGGTTCAATACTCGGCACCACAAACAAAACAAAGGTCCATCAACAAATTTTTAAGAGGTAGGTCTTTGTTTTTATATGAATTCAAATATAAAGTTTATTTTCACAAAAAAGTATAAGTTAAATATACAAATTAAAAGCTTACTATAGTACCAAACAATGTTAGGGCTGCTTTGTACTTATGTCTGTGGCTCCCCACCTTTTCCCTGAAGTGTGATCTTAAAAACATGTATTGATACAAACATCAACATATTGCCTTAACTGAGTGATTCAAGTTGCAGTAAAAGATTAAGACATACACATACACTTGAATAAAATCCCAAAGTTAGAACTAAATTTAAGCTGTTTCGATGGTCTGTGACCCAACTAATCTTTCTGAATATTAAAATGAATCCATCTTCAATTTCTAATCACTTTTTCCTTTTTCCCTTTTGGCCTTCCGTCACCAGTTCTTTGGGCACAATCAAAACAGTTCCATCATGATTGCACTGAAGTGCATACAGGTTTGGATCAACAGGCCTACCCTCACTATCTTTTAACCTACTAAAAACATCATGACAGAGGTCATGCAGTTTTTGTTTCATTATGGTAATTGATTTGTTACATTCGGCTTGTTCTCTTTTAAGGGTCTCTTTCTTTGCTTGCAAATTGCACACTTCGTCTTCTAGATTCAAAATTATGTCTAATTTGCGTTTACGACAGTTCTGGGCAGCTACTTTGTTCTTCCCTCTTCGTCTGATATCACGAATGAGCGAGACTTGTAAGTCTGTCAGATAATACCTGCTTAACATGCTGTTAAAAGAATCAACAGGCATACGGACAATTTCATCTACTGAAAAAGGGATATGCAGAGCTTTAGCCCGTTGTTCATCACGGCTTAGATTTCTATGTGTATCATTGAGGTACCTACTCACTTTCTGTGATTTCCCAGGCCATGAAAGCGATTCAGAAGTGGGTTCTAGTTCATCTGACTTCGTATGGTAAGTGTGGTCATGAAATACGTGAAATGTGAGATCCCCACGAAAACCAGATTCATTCCTCTGATGCGTGTGGCACAGTTTACTGGATTCTGGGTAGTAGCCTCCTACAGCCCCTTCTAAGTCATAATGAGGAGAAACAGGGTCACTACTATAACCTATAGCACCTTCTTCATCACACACCGAGAGAGAAAAATTGCAATGGTGACTTGAATTCAATGAGTCTGGTTCTTCAAAAAGCTGAGAGATTTCCATGGGATCAAAATTTTCTTCTGTGACTAATGACAATAAGTTTATCTCATCAAGTATATTTGCATCAAGGTCATACAGGAGGTCTTGGCTTGTTAGATTCCACATCTGATTGTCAACAGGTGGAACAAATCCTGTTATATTAGTTCCTGGAAGGGTTTGCTCAGGATTGGAATGAAAATTCAGCTGCAAAAATTGTTCCTGTGCCTGTGAAGTCCTTGCTACGGGATCTCTTGTAAATGTGGTGTTGGGATACAGCAACATGGCCTCATGGAGATTGACATCATGACTTATAGCCTGGGTAAAATTTATGCCATCACTGGTACTCCCTAGAAGAGGTGGGAAATCTTCTGAGATGTTCTGAAAAATAATGGAAAGATGGCACTTTAAAAAAGAGTTCTATTACCTAATAACTTGACAATACTAACAAAAGAACTGTTCTTAGCTATCACCAATCCACATTAATAATACAGGGATAATGTTAAAAGATTCTACTAAAGCATAAGTATAAACTACCATGTAGCTTTTAATATGAATGTGCTAATTGATTTCTAAGTTCTGTGTGCTTAATTCACAAGTTTGACAAACTACTATGTCATCCAAGTAAAAGGGTGGAACTTAAAAATCAAGATTACAATTACCTCTAGAGAATATTCAGGTTGTGAAGAAAGCAGCTGAAATAAGTCTTCTAGAGAGAAAGATGTATCTGTCCTATTTAGATGTATCTAGAAAAACAAAACAGGCACACCAGTCTTCAGACAAAAGATAAGTGGTTGTATGGGGTTTTAGGCTCAATTTGGATCTTTTATCCCTATTTTATTCCTTGGTTGAGAGCTTTACATTTTATTTCCCTTAGTACTTAATTTTGTAATTAGAATAAACTACAAACCCCACCATTCTTGTCCTTACGAACATCTTCCACATAATTTTTAGCCACTATTTTAAGTTCCAAGCCTTATTTTACTTTGTTCCTCCATAAAGCTACATATTTATATTTGCCCTAATGTCTTTCCCAACTTATTCTTTGCTTCACTTCTGCCTTCAACATAAAGCTTCTTGTTGAAGTAACTCCTTTGACAAAAAACCTGAATAAAGTTTTTGTATCCTGGAACTATTTTGCCTTCATGTTTCAAACTCTCTGACGTCTGGGGTTAGATTTTTTTTTTTTCCTCTCATTGTCTCAGTTTTTCAATATTTTGCATCTCTGTAGTATATTCTGGGTATTTATCTCTTTGTGTCCACATTTTTCATGCTGAGGATTTGATACCAGGGATTGGACCCAGAACCACTGAGCCACATCTCTAGCCCTTTTTATTTTTTATTTTGAGACAAGTTGTTTATGGCCTCCTAAATTTGCTAAAGCTGGCTTTGAATTTTTGATCCTCCTGCCTTAGCCTTTCCAGCTGCTGGGAAGATAGGCATGTGCCACAGCGCCTATCAGATTTCAGTCTTTTTTCTCAAGACTAAGCATTTATTTCTGCATGTCACTCTTTTTTGTTGCTGTTCTGGCACTGGACAACTGAGCCACATCCCTATTTTGTATTTGATTAGAGGCAGGGTCTTAACTGAGTGCTTAGCCAGCGGCTGGCTTCCATCCCATGATCCTCCCGTCTTGGCCTTCTGAGCTACTGAGATTACAGGCAGGCACCACCATGCCGTTCTGTAAACTCATCTTTGCTGGAAAATTTCTGTACGAACCTCACACAATGAAGAGCCACTAACTAAAGCAATTGTGTGTTTTTCTCTCTCTCCAAAACTTGTTCATAATTTCTAAACTTTTTTTGTTTCTTGGTTTAGGATTCCTTGTGTTGGTAGTACAGATCAAGACCTTTTAGTTCACATTCCAAGCCACTCAATCTTAGTCTTGGTTCCAACTCTAGTATTCTATCTATAGAATTCCTTTGTTACTGAGTTTTCTTGAAATTGTCCACTTTATTATTCAGGATCGCTGTTTTTAGTGAGTGCACAAGGGTTTTATGGGTTTTTTTTTTTTTTTGAGGTGCTGGGAATTGACCCAGGGGCCCTCTACCATTGAGCTATAGCCCTATCCCTTTAGTCTTGCTAAGTGACCCAGGCTAGTTTTAAAGTTGCAATTCTCTTGCCAGATTCCCAGATCACCAGATTACAGGTGTGTGCCTTCACACCTGGCTAGATTATGTTAGTGAATTCATGGTCCTGAATGAGGTATTCATGTTCTGTGCTTCACTCCTACCCTCCTATATATATTTTTTTTTTCTTCTTGTTTATTTGTTTTTTGGAAGATTCAGACCAATTGGAGGCCTGGAAGTCAAGCTCACTGGTAGGGCACTAGCGATTCATGAGCTGGGCACGGTGGCACACACCTGTAATCCCAGCAGCTTGGGAATCTGAGACAGGAGGATCAAGAGTTCAAAGTCTGCCTCAGCAACAGTGAGGCACTAAGCAACTCGGCAAGATCCTGTCTCTAAATAAAACACAAAATAAGGCTGGGGATGTGGTTCTTGAGTGCCCCTGAGGCCCATCCTCACTACCAAAAAAAAAAAGTTTCAGGGCTGGGGTTGTGGCTCAGTGGTAGAGCACTTACCTGGCATGTGTGAGGCACTTGGTTCAAATCCTCAGCACCACACAAAATTAAAAAAAGTATTGTGTCCATCTACAACTAAAAAAAAAAAAAAATCAGTCAAGATACATAGTTTCCTTTTCTGCGAAATTGAGTTCTATTAAGTCCTGTTTTTTTAGGACCCATGATAAATTAGATTTTTCTATGTCTATAGATGCTATAGGACTATTTAAGCTAAACTAGTGGAAAAGATTTTTTCTTGCTCCTCTTTGAGAAATTACATGTTTTAACGACTGTGGACTTATTTGCCAACCAAACTATTGTTATTAAAATGAGACCTCTTTTTCAAAAATTATTTTTATTGTTGATGAAATTTTAATTTTATGTATGTATTTGTATGTGGTGCTGAGAATTAAACCTGATGCCTCAACATATGCCAGACAAGAGCTCTACCACTGAGCCACAATCCCAACTCCTAGACCTCATTTTTTAATACTCCCAAGTATTCTATTAATGACCCCAACTTTGGATTTTTCTTTGGCCCCAACCAAAATTTACTGATAATCACAAGTGAGAATGGGTAACATCAGCACAAATCTACTTGGATTACTACAAAAACAATTTTTAAAAAATATATTTTTAATTGTTGATGGACCTTTATTTTATTTTTATGTGGGTCTGAGAATTGAATCCAGTGCCTCACACATGCCAGGCAAGTGTGCAACCACTGAGCCACAACCCCAGCCTCTGCAAAAACAATTCAAGGATTATTTAAAAGTGAAATATGGACTGGTCTTTTAGAGTAGCCAATGTTGTGTTTTATGAGTTTTTTGTTTTGTTTTGTTTTATTATTCCTGATAGCACCCAGGAGATTGAGAGCTGAAGGGCTAACCCCCACCAGGTGGGGTGACATGTCCAACAGGAGACAGATGTAAGAGTGATTCCCTTAAAGACTAGGGTTCGCTGAATCATCAGTTCCAGTTCTCACTGAGCTGTTTGTTTCTCCTCAGATTCCTTTAGGTCCTAAAGGTGGTAAGAGCTTCATGTTGTTAATTCCTCAGTCTTTCCTTTGATATAGAGGTTATAACCTCTATATCAAAAATTCATTTTTTTCCCAGAGTTTCATCATCACATACCTTCTAATTGAGCATTTTAACTATGGAAAGCGTTCTGTTGTACACAATAAGCAATACTTTTTTCGGTCTACTATACCTCAGAGGACAATTTTGAGGCATTTAATTTCAAAGAACTCCACCACTTAAAAATCAAACTACTTACATATATTTTGTTCACCTGAGTTTAAGTCTTACCTAAAAATGGATGGCTGAGCTATTTTTAAATATTAATCTGTAAGACAACTTATACTGTACTTCAGTTCAATTTAGAGTGCCAGGAAATTAAGTCAGATTCTTGTAATTGCTTCTAATCCTCATATAAAATAAAAACATACAGTTCCATTTTAGGTTAAGACCTCACTGCATTTTGAACAAAGACCACTAGGAATATTCAAAGAACATGGTGGATACACATAAGTTCAGTTCAGTTTCTCATTAGTGAGAAGAAAATGTCTTTGAACCATTTAATCTGCGTATACAATGAATTCATTAACTGCCTGCAGTGGAGCTAGAGAGAAAGCATGTGGTAAATTTTATCACTGTCCCTAGGTATTCTTCTAGGGTTGTCATCCAAATGAATGGAAATGCCAGTGATTCACTCACCTGACAAAATATCTTTAAAAATGCAAATTACTAGTTAGAGCTACCTTAACCGCCTGAAATCCTGATGACTCAGGAGGCTGAGGCAGGAGGATCACAAATTCAAAACCAACCTTAGCAACTTTGTGAAGCCCTAAGCAACTTAGTGAGACTTTCAATAGAAAGGGTTGGAGGGCTGGGGATATAGCTCAGTTGGTAGAGTGCTTCCTGAGATCAATCCCCAGCACCACAAAACAAAAAACCCCCAACCACATTCAACTATAAAGCTCTAATAAAAAAATAAATTTTAAAAATGTTGTACAACTTATAGTATACAAAGACCTCTGATGTAAATGATGAGGAGCTGAGCCTGATAGGACCTGGGGCACAAATGCCTTGCTCTTTGGGTGATTTATTTATGTATCTTTAGTTTTAGGTGGATACATTAGTTTGTTTTTATGTGGTGCTGAGGATGGATTCCAGTGCTTCATGCATGCTAGGCCAGCACTCTACCACTGAGCCACCACCCCAGCCCCTGATTAATATATTTCAAACTGATGTTTTCCTACATCATATTACATTTTACCTTCTCTTCAACTCAGCTCCCTGCTTTATCTACTCATTTAATGAGTTGGACATGGAGGTGCATACCTGTAATCTCAGTAACTCGGGAGGCTGAGGCAGGAGGATCACAAGTTCAAAGTCAGCCCCAGCAATTTAGCAAAGCCCTAAGCAACTTTGGGAGATACTGTTTCTAATAAAAAATTGAATGAGTGTCCACTGTTTATCTAGCAGGGAATTAATTGCTAACATTTAATTCAAAGACTTGAACAGTTCCTGCTTTTCTGTGATACCCAGTGAGGGAGTAAAGGCAAAGACATACCACATACCCAGGAGAAAAAGTACACAACAGCATGAGGAAATATACCAGGAACCATTAAATAAGTGGTGGGAGAATACTCTCCCAGGCTAGGGAAGTGGTTCAGGGGAAGTTTGCCTAACATGTATAAGGCCCTGGGTTCGACCCCCAGTGTTGGGACACACACACACACACACACATTCATTTAGGAATATGGGCTAAAAAATGATGTCTCCTGCAAAATAAATATGGATTTTTCAGTATATGTCTATAGGCACTGACATCACCATATGTTGCTTGTGTGGGCAATGGTAGTAAAGCCACACAAAAGATACCTGAGGAAAGATAAAAGTCTAATAAGTAAATGAGGGGTCAGGGAGAATACCAGCTGGAGAAAAGCACAGGCAGGTGCCAAATGCTTAGAAATTTGAAATGAAATGCCAGACTGAGACGGAGGGCATACATGAGTTGAAGCTGAAGAAGTTAGGGAATGAAAATGGGGTGAATCTCTCTACCCTCCTTCTTACCTAAAGAACAGAAAAGCCTCAGAGAGAACTGCTTACAAACTTGGTGTGTGCTCCCTGCAGTCTACTTCTCAGGTCTTGCCTGAGAAATACAAAGGGTGTAAAAAGCATGTGGCCAGGAACCCATGCTAGACAGCCAGATAGTGGTTGATAGGGCCTGATGGAGAGGCTGTGGCTGAATATTTAAGAATCCAGAGGACCAGCTGGAGGTGGAGATGCATTTGCCCTTTTCAAAAGAATGGCAGATGAAAGACACCTAGCCACAAGAGCAGGGATTCCCCAAAGAATCTACAAAATGAAAGTAACTAATCTGAAATGAAACCGTATCCCAAGGTCAAGGGAAACAATGCCCAGTTGGTGCCAAATAACCTCTCCTGAATTCTTACCACTCCATATCCTCAGCTCCAGGGAAAACAGCCTAACAGGCAGGAGAGGACAAACTGAGGAATTAGAGAACATGACCATACATACCGTTTCCACACTAGGAAAAAGCCTTGTGGGTTCAACAGATGAGATGGGAAGAGGGAAGAAGCTAAATTTTGGTTGTAAATTTTTGAGAACTACACTAGATTATTTTTTGTCAGTTGGTGCATTAGAATGACCAGAAGAACTTTTAAAATCTGATTATCTAGAAGTCATGTGACCTGCCCTAGATTTTACCCACAGTGGAAGGAAAAACTGGTTCCCCTAGAACAGGTTAGAACAGGCTGGAAGGTGCAGGAAGAGTACTGGGTAGGCAAAGAGAACAAAGCTATTTCTGATTTCATTCCATAAAAATCAAGTAATGTTTGTAATGTTACATGGTCAAAACCTCAGTGAGGTTGGACTGTCTGGGATGGGCCAGGCATGGTATTTTCCATCCTCCAAGAGGGTTCACAGATCAGGGTCAACCCCTACCTCCCAGGGAGGGGACATGCTGAAGCAGGTCATGGTGAAAGGTCCATCAGGACAAGATCTGCAAGGGTGCTCCTTCTGGGTAGAAATGCCATGTGACTAAAGGTCTGTGGAATCTCCAGGCCTGTCTCTGGAGCACCTGTGTGCCAGGCTTGTGGGCAGGACCTCAGCAGCACAGAATAGAAACCAGATGTGGTCCAAGTAAAAGAAGAGGGTAAGACCAGGCTGCAGGAAGAACCCATCCCTTCAGCCAAGCTTCTGGAGTTCATCTTTCTATACCTCTTCTCTCAGAGTACGTTTAGTCAATGAGTAGCCAATAAGGTGGACCACCAGGCCTGGCCCCTTAGAAGAGAGACCAGAAGTATGAAATGTGCTCCTGGATGTCAATGGGTCTGCTTGGCCCACTAGCAGACTGTAGATCTGGACTCAAGCCTTAGCAGGAATTGAGGGTGATTTGGCTACAGGGTTAGTCCTCTTTCTTGTTCTCCAGGATCCAGCCAGCTTGGGTCCAGAATATCAGTCATGTATTTATCCCTTATCTTGGCAAACACAATGAGCAAAACCTGCTAGTAGGCTGCTGGAGGGTATGTGTGCATGTACTGCAAAATCTTGAGTTTAACCAGAGAAAACATTCTGTGAGCTGATTCTTTTTAAAGTCTAATTATACTTTTTCATATGACAGATTTGTAACAGTGGAGCATACTTACATGCAAAATTCATTCTCAATGTAAATTGTCAATGCCACAAAGCTACACAAAAGCCAAAACGTCAAGACTAGAAGATTCTGATGTGCTCACCTCATTTCTAGATTCAGCAGTCTTTTCCGCCTCCCACTCAGGTTTATCTGCTACTTTGTTTTCATCTTCATTATTCTGTTGTAATTTCTCCTTCTGGCCGGACACCCTTTCCTCGTTTTTTTCCTCCTCAGATCTGTGATCCATACCTTCATACCTCTCTCTTGGTACTTGATTCTCCTAAAAAGTACCCAACAATGTGCTTAGAAACCCAAATAAAATAAGCAAATGGCATTTCACTTAATTGTTTAGTGATCTTATAAACCCTTATGTCAAATGCTACGACAGGCATTTCATTATTTCAGTATCAAAGAAACATTTAATTCTGAAACGAGGACAAGCACTAATTTTGAGATGGGCTATTCCAACACGGACAATTTAAATTATATGCGTGTACACAGACCTTGAATTTAAAATATTTGCATACTGAATCTGGAAATCAGTGTTACAGTTAGGTAGTTTTTCTTTAGTTCTTTATTGAAAACACATCAAGCAGCTAAATGGAAAGAAACACTGATTAAATACCTGTGTATGTAGAAAAATCTGGAGGCCAGGTACAGTGACGCATACCTAAAAGCCCAGCAACTCAGGAGGCCACCCTAGGCAACTTGGTAAGATCCAGTCTCAAGGGCTGGGGTTGGGGCTCAGTGGTAGAGCGCTCACCTAGCATGTTCAAGGCCCTGGGTTCGATCCTCAGCACCACATAAAAATAAACAAAATGAAGTTTTTTTAAAAAAAAAAAAAAAAAAAAAAGATCCAGTCTCAAAATTAATAAAAGGAACTGAGGATGTAGATTAGCCACAGAGTGCTTACCTAGCAGATGCCAAGCTGTGGGTTCAATCCCCAGGACGAGGAAGGAGGGAGAGAGGAAGAGGGAAGGAAACAAACAAAAAATCTGGGAAATGTTATTTTACAAACTATTAACTGTGATTCTTTCTAGAAGGCAGGATGGGTTGGGACAAACTGGGAAAGGACTGACTTTGCTATACATACTTCTGTAATTGAATACAACAAACACGTATTCCTTTTATAATCAGAACTATATCAATATGACTATTTACTCAGATGAGTCCTTCCACTTTTTAATTTGCTAAGGAGACTTAAAAAAAGATTCTTCTAGCAATTTAACACATACTGTTTATTTCAGTTATGATATTAAAATTTTCTTTAATCTTTTTCCTGTAACAATAAGGCTTCTCAAACTCTTTCAAAGGATCTCTTTAATTTTTGACTTCTAGGAACATGGCACTAACTAGACTAACTCAAGGATAGCACCCCCTACCACCACCAATCCAAAGAAATGTTCATTCTTTAAGTTGGGGGGTGGGGGAGAGGTAGGAAGGTGAAGATCAAAGAAATGAAAATCCACAGATGCCAGAAGCAAGGAAAAAAGCAGAAAAGGGATGCAGATATCCTGGTGGCCCACTTGGTTTCTCTGGCTTCTCTATCTGTACAAACTCCAGGACACATTCTGCTTCCCTCCCAACACTGCAGGTGACTCTGGTTCCCAGCATAGTCAGTCTCATGTGTATACACCTCATAATCCCGCTAGTAAGTTGAGTTGTACCTGCTACTCTCCTTTCTCCTCTGTGTCAACAGCGGTGCACCATCAGTTGGGCAATTTCTTTTTTTTTCTTTCTTTCTTTTTTTTTTTTTTTGAGAGAGAGAGAAGTTTTTTTTTTATATTTATTTTTTTTTGGCGGACACAACATCTTTGTTTGAATGTGGTGCTGAGGATCGAACCAGGCAAGCGCGCTACCGCTTGAGCCACATCCCCAGCCCGGTCGAGCAATTTCTATCAGCCTACTAATGTATGCCTGCCATGTGTAAAAACCCCTTCCATCGGTCCCACACTACCCTTGGTCCCATTCCACTTTTCTGCTCCCCTTTAGAGCAAAATCCTCCAAAGAGTTATCTGGACTCAGTATATTCTCTCTCAAATCTATTTCAATGAGAATTTTTTGCCCACCACTCCACTAAAACAGCCTACAAGGTCTCCCAAATCCAACAGTTCTCCATCTTCATTTGACCTACCAGCAAAATCTGACTTTAGTTCCTGCCTCCTCCTGGAAACAGTTTGTTCATCTTGCATCCAAGTACCCCTTCCCCTATTCTCCTAGATCCCCTAAGGCTTCTGCTTTGCTGCCTCATCCCCTGATCTCTAAATAGCAATGTCCCCAAACTGTCTTCAGGCCCACCAAGGACCCCTTCACTTTGCAGCCTTGGATTGGCTGCCCTACAAGGTGCTCTCTCTGACTTCAACTCTACCCCCTTTTCTTGTGGCTTCATTCAGTTCTCTAAATTCTGTGTGTGTGTGTGTGTGTGTGTGTGTGTGTGTGTGTGTGTTGCTGGGGACTGAACCAGGGCCTTGTGCATGCAATGCAAGCACTCTACCAACTGAGCTATATTCCCAACCCCTAAGTTCACTTTTCTTTCTTAACCATGCCATTAAAAAGTATCTCTTGCCAGGCACAGTGGTGCACACCTATAATCCCACCAACAAGTTCAAAGCCAGCCTACCCTCAGCAACTTAGTGAGGCTCTAAGCAACTCAGCAAGACCCTCTTGTGTGTGTGTGTGTGTGTATGTATAAAAATGTATGTATGTGGTGCTCCTAGGTTTAATCCCCAGTACCAAAAACCAAAAACCTCTCAGTCCAACATCTACCTCCCTTGCTCTGTGTCTCCTACCCCGACAGAATTCAGCAACCAACTGATATTTTTGTATTTGTTAGCAGTCTTGTCTGTCCTGCTAGGATGCTAGTTTCTGGAGGGAGGGTCTCTTGTTTGCTTGGGGGCTGCTATATGCCATCTGTCTACCCTAGTGTCCAGCACATAGTAAACCCCAAACAGACATTTGTTGAATGTTCAATTCTTAGATACAACATCCTAAGACTTTGGTAGGGATCCTATGTCTGATGGATTGTTCTTTGATGTAATTACAATGCTAATACTCTCTAAATCTGGAAAAGGAATAATTGGCCACTACTTATTTTTTTTTTTAACCTTTTATCTTTTGCTCAAGCAAGGTTTGTTAAATTTGAAGATGACCAAATTGAAAAATTCTGATTCCCAACACAGCTAACTTTGCTGCTGGTGGACAGAGGAACTTCTAATTTCTAAATCACACAATCAATTTTAGAACACAATGCAAGATTCCCTTATTCTGTATTACGTTGAATTAATACAACACACATGAACACTTATGTCAACATGCCAACTTGAGAATGTTACCCATAAAATTGTATAAATAACAGAAAAAGGTAACAAATCAAGCCCATAAGGAAATGGATCAAGTAAACATTAGTCTGGAAAACTTTTTTTTTTTGTTTTGGTGTGTGTGTGAACTCAGGGAGACGAGGACCAAGGACAGAGAAATTCTACAGGACCAGAACACACAATGCAGGAAGCTAAAACTAGGTTAAAAATCTAATAGAATAATGGATCATAACTCACTGAATAAAGTTATTTAGTAATCTACTCAACTATAAACAGCTAAATAAATGAGGGAAAAAATGTTTTCTTACAGTAGAATACAAACAATAAATATGGAAAGAGAATGACAGAGCTAGAAAACCATCAATAGATGCTACAACTATGGAGTGAAAATTTGGTAAGAAACAAGATACTTAAATAATAGTCTCAAATTATCACTGCAGATTATTTTTAATTACAAAGAGAAAAACACTACAAGAAAACCTGGCAGATACCATCTTACCCAAATGGGTAAACTGACATCATGGTACTCCTAATATGAAGAACACTACCATTTCTATGTTCCTGTCAAAAATTCATTACTCTCAATCGAATTATGAGGAAACATCAAATAAATTGAAACTGGGGGGTCGTTTTACAAAATAACGGATACTCTTCAAAAATCTAAAGGTTAAGAAGTTCTAAAACCGAGTAACTTTTCCACTAAAGATGACTAATGGAACACAGTAACTCAATTGCAATGTATGATCCTGGATTAGATGGGAATCCGGAAGAGAAAGTAACTATAAAGCACCTTTATGGGCAACCGATTCTGAATATAGACAGTAAGGTAGATAATCATCTTAGATGCATGTTAAGCTTCCTGGCTTTGATAACTGGATACAGAAAAGAAAATCATTGTTCTCAAGAAACACACTAAAGTATCTGGGAATTGAGGGATACAATAGCTTTAATTCACTCTTTAATTAAACAACAGATAAATCGGGGCAAAGGATATATGTACTCTTTTTTTTTTTTTAAAGTTTGAAAAGATGTTCAGTCTCAAAAGTTTAAATGTGTATGTATTTCTTTTGCTCATTTTTACCATGAAACATTAGTCTTTTTTCTCATTCATCAGTAGTCGTGTTAGGTCATTTCTACTTGTCTCACCTCCAGTCTTCACAAGAGTGGAAGCAGGAAAAGAGGCAAGGAGGCTACTCTGGTGATCTCAATGGATGACAGTCTGAAAAGGGATGGTGACAGATACAGATGGAAGTGGGGAAAACCATGATATATTTTGGGAAAAGGTTAGTTGGGGCTTGTCTCTGAAACAGAAACAGGAGGTAAAGGGAAGAACTAACTGACTCTTAGATCTGACTCTTGAATAACTTGGGATAGCTGAGGGGAAAACAGCTGAAATAGGAAACAGTTCTTCCATTTTGGACATGGTTCATTTTAAGATGTGAAAAGACAAGTAGAAATGTCATACTAAGAATCTGGAAATCAGAGCAAATGTCTGACCTGAAGGTGACACATCAAGACAGGTTGGGGTGGGGAGCAGGGTCACAGGAACTGATGAGATTCCCAGCAAGAGAGTACAGAGCGAGGAGGGGCTTGGCGCCGGGAGTCTTCAGGAATTGTAATGTTGGAATCCTAATATGAAGGGTCAGGTGGAGCCCAGGGCATGCTGTAATCCCTGCAACTCAGGTGTCTGTGGCAGAATGATCAAGTTCAAGACCAGCTGGAGCAACTTACAAGACTGTCTCAAAATAAAAAGTACTGAGGATGTGGATCAGTGATGAAGTGCCCCTGGGTTCAAGGGTTTAAAAAAAAAAAAAAAAGCCACCAAAACAGAGCAGACTGAGGAAGATAGGAAGTGGAGAGGGGCAATGAGGAGGCTACAAGTTTGTCATCTATATTCTTTGTGTATCTTGCTATTAGTTTAATATTTTTCATGACTATTCCTAAGAGTAACTTGTGGTTTTCT